TTGGAGTCTTCCGTCACGAATCGCCTCCCGAATCTTCGCATCCGCATCCCAATCAATCGCTGATTTGTAATTCTTGACTCCGAACTTGGGATCACTCTCCGAATCAGGTACCACTTGGTGATCATGAAGCCGTGAACTGTCCCTTTTCATTGAAATCTTCTTTGTACTTTATTGGATGCCCTAGCTTTGAAGAAGAAGACAAAGACTTTGATGTATTGATCGAAGACAGTTGGTGCGAGTGGTTTGCCCTTGTTTGGTCCACTCAAGCAAGCCATTTCATTCCGCACAACACGAGACAATGATTGAGAATTGTGTGCTTATCGATGTTCTTTTCTCCACTCAAGATGTTGAAGAAGGCGTAATCCATCTTCTTTCCATTCGCATAATTGGCCGGTTCTTGTTCAGAAGATTCGCCAAGATGTCGCCTCCATTTTCCTTTATGGTTTTGAAGAACCGATTCACACACCGGGTAATTTTTGCAGCATGTTCCTTGGAGACTTTCCTTTGTCTTTAGCTTCATCCAACAGCTTGAGTTCATCTTCAGTGAGTTCCATGGATTCATATTGATTTCCAGCTTCAAGGCACCAGCAATGGCAGCGGCAGAGTTGAGTGTGGAGTTGGCTGTCCTCTTGTGGAGTTTCTGGTTGGCTCACTTCCTCTGCTGTGGTGAGGCTGTGTCTTGATTTTCCTCATTTTCCAAGGAGACTCTGGCAGGTCGGTTGTTGATTTGAGGAGTTCCTTCATTGCCATTTCCACCGAAGTCGATGGTACATTCAAGGGTTGGATTGGAAGACGTTTGGATCTGTTGGAGGAGGATCGGCAAAGTCAAGCAGTGTCGCCGCAGCAGTTCCTTGGGTTCAAAGGTGGTGGTGGTGGTGGAGCAGCTGAGGCGAAGCCAAGTAGTGTTGCCGCGGCCGTTCCCTGAGTCAATGGTGGAGCCATGTCTTCTTCCTCTTCCTCGTCGCTGCTACTGGGAGGAGAAGTTGCTGGTACAGGAGGAAGGACAAACTCGTCGGACATCTTCACGGCCGTAGCTTCAGTACTGAATCCTACACGGGCGGTGATCTTTCGTGTAAATCTTCCTGTGACGTCCTACTGGAGATGGCTTCTGCTATGCGCTATTGCCTGTCAATGGTCAAAGGATGGGCTATTGTTGAGTTTCCTCAAGGGCAGTTACAGTAATCTAACAGCTTATTTCTCTCGGATTATCCACTGGACATGATTACGCACAAATGACGGCCCTCTTCATTGACAGCCTCGGTGTCGGCTGCGTCTCGTCTTTGTCTCGGCTTTTCCAGGCCTTCGGCCTTCCTTTTTGCCTCGCCTGCAGCCTCGATCTTGCCTCCTCCTCGTCTTAAGATCTCCGGCCTGCGCGCTACTGTACGCGCTACTCGGCTTCGCCTCGGAATTGCGCGTCCATAGCGCGCGGCCGTCGATCTTCAAATCAGCGGACCGTTTTTCTACAAGGTGGAGCTGAGCTGAGCTGTTTTGACTTTCTGCGAAGGAAGCTTTGGAAGCCTGTCTTCAAGGACCTCGCAGGATTCGATCATTCGAGTTCTTAATCAAAGTCGTTTGAGATTTACGAACGAACGCCAATGCAATAATGCTTAGTTTTCCCTTCTGGATCCACCGAAGACTGGAGCGGTCTCTAATTCGGTCAGCCTTCAGAAAGCTTTCAGTCATTCGATGACTTATTCCTTACTGCCTGCTCGCACAAAGCCACAATGCTGCACTGCTGCACTAACACTTTAAGCACCTTGAGAGTATTAATTAAAATAATAGAATCATGAACAGCGTCACTCCGAGAGTCACTGAGACACTCTTTTGAGAGACTTTAGTCGGAATCTGCAGAAAATTTACGGTTCGGAACATGTACTCAGTGTCTCAGTGTGTAATAAATTTTAGCTCCAGCTCTTGAGGCTGGGGGCAGAGCTGATGCTGCAACTCGAACGAACAGCGCAGAGTTTGGGCTTGTGATTGTGATTGATTTATTGATTTATTGCTTCTGGGTTGTCTTGGAGTACTTATCTACCACGCAAGGAGCGATTGTGTACAATGTAGAGCAAAACAGAGGGCAGTTGGGATGAGCGGGAGAGAACTGGAAGGGACATGGAGCTGTGCAGGCATCAAACTTTGAAGTGGGTGCCAAGGTGCCTTGATGAGAATTGTTGTTTGACGTGGCGTCCACGAACTGGGTGTAATCCGCAGCTTGTTGACTCTGATCTACTGGTGGCCAAACAGTCGAAAGACCATTTCCTACACCACCGAAGAAGGGTTCCTCTTGTTACGAACCATCCGGGGCAAGGTGGTGCGAGCAAAAACACTGCTCAAAGAGCTGCTCAAAGCAGAAAGCTAGAACGACTTGGACCTTGCCAATTATTGTCTTTTTGGAAGATTTTTTTGCAAACGGGGAAGCCTCAGTAACTGTTCTCCTCCTCGCTTCCGATCTGCCATCAGATTCTGTCACGAGCAACGGCCCGCTAGTAGCTAGTAGGAGATCACTTGGGACTCAACTTATTGCCTGGCTGAGAATTAGGAGCTCATCACCCCTTTTCCTGTCTCTGGCATAGCTAGCTACCGGTAGTCTGTTGTCGGTCTACTGCGAGTTGATAGCTGAGTTGACTGGCAATTTAAAAAAAAGGATGGCAAAAGACCCTCCCTTTGCTCCACATCTTCTGTAGACAAGTTGAGTGTCCAAGAGCTTGGGGGCTTGGATCGATGGCTGGGTTTCCTTATTAGATACTCGTACAGTACATCTACAACCCGGTAACGGTATGTAAAAATTAACCCGATCTCTAATAATTCCGTAGGGTTCAGGCTAAATCCTTCAGACGTGTTTTCAAGGCGAAGTTGCAACCCAACAGAAAGTTGGTTGGTTGGTTGGGTTGTTGCTTCCTCCAGAATTGGAGTCCAAAGATACCAACAGATAATTTGCAGACAATGGCGTCCACCACTAAGTCACCATCCGAGGATGCGGCCGCGTTGGAGCGAGTGCGTAATCGATTGGCCACTGCTCCGGATGGCAAACTTGCTCAGATCCTGTCGAAACTGTTGCCGAGATTGGTCACCCGATTCTTTGACAGCACGACTGTTTCCACGGAATCGCCAGCCCATTTGATTGGGATCCTGGAGCATGTGCGAGAGCGCATCTTGTTGAATCCCAAACAACTAGTTGACCCAGTGTGGGTAGAGCCGCTGCTGGTGGCTATCGAGTTCCCTTCGAACAGTAACGACTCATCGGGAGAATCGATACTCTGTTGGACACGACAGCTGTTGTACACGCTGCCCATTTTGGAATTGGCGTTGCCGTCACTGGAGCATTCCGCATTTTCTCTGCCGCGGCTTTTGATCCTTTTGGAACGCATCCACTCTGTGTTGCCCACGCTCTGGGACAAAACGCAAGAGAATCCAGGCACAAATGCGACAGCAAGGCGGCAGCAAAATCAGCACCCAAGGGCAAATAACAATAATAATCATGGAGTGGCCAGAATGGAATTGGAGGAAGATGACGAAGATGAAGAAATGGAAATAACAGAGCAATCCACCAATAGTCAGCTGAAGCAAATTTGGGAACAGGCAAGTTGGATGGTAGTGGAGCAAATCGCCAAGGCTTCCAATCTGCAACCCTGTTTGGATTGGAACTTGCTGGGCGATGCTTGGGATGATTTCAACGCTCCCACCAGTTTCAAAAAGATACAGGAGTATCAACCCACAAGCGAGGAACAAGCCGCTGCTGGTAGTGGAATCTTTCGCCTCTTGTTGGATGCCATTGCCTTTGACCCTGCTCAGATTTCTCCTTTTGCTCACCGATCGAGCAACAACTCTACTAGCCGGTGGCAATTTAGACGACAAACGGAAACAATCCAGGCGGATTTTGAACACGCACAGCGGCAGAGAAATGAATGGCACGAACTGGCACGCCGTCAGAACCAAAACCAATTCGTCCGCAGGGATGTTTCCAGCCGTCACAATCCCACTGCGTGGAACCAATTCGAGATTCGGTATTGGCGGGGACTGCAACAATGTCTGCGATCATATACCATCCAACTGTATGCTACAGGCACATCGGCAGAACGGGAAAACATTCTACGAATCTTGACGGGACAACCCAAACCACCTTGCGCATTGCAGCTCTACAAACGTATCAAACCTTCCGAAATGAAAAAGGTCAATGCTCGAAAGAGAGCAAAAGCCGCCGTCAAAGAGCAGAACAAGCTCACTTGTACCCTCCATGAGGAAATGGCATTGTTGCATATCATCTTGGGAGATGCTGGGGCGCAACAAGTTATCCAGAAACAGCCGACAACGTACACGGATCGCATCATGGGAGGCTCCTGCAGTGATCAGCCATCATTCATGGCACTCCGACCCTTGCCACCGAGCTTGGCCGAACGAGCCTTTTCCCAATTGCTGCAGGCAGGTCTCGACTTGAACAGCACAGCCGAGGCATCATATGTGGAGAATGACTTGGCCTTGTTTCTGGGCCTTTTGGGCCGCGTCAAGACAGTATCATCTCTCCAGATCTCGATTTCTTCCGAGCTCTACTTGCGGATTGGGGCCAAAACTCCACCGGCCCTCTGTTGGCCGGTTCATTTCTTGTGGAAATTGGTAGAGCAGCTATCGACGAAAGGCAATAATGGCTGTCCTGCAGCTTTGGCGGAGCATGGGTACAAGGCTGCTGTGGATTTGTTGGAGAATCTGCAAGACATCTCCGTGCAAAGGTTTGAGCGGGAGCAACGACTTGCCACACAACGCGATGTAGATCGAAGGATTCACGAGCACCGAGACCAAGTTGCCAATCGGCATCCCTTTGTCGCGGAGGCGCTGGAAGCGCGTGCCGAAGCTTACCAACTGGTGACGAGATTCATGGCTGCAGATAAGATCATGAGCGCGGGGGGTATAATATCTTGGGGTGTCGCCGTGAAACTATTGAATTGCATGGCGTTTGACAGCAACGATCGAACCGCATATGCTCTCCGTGGGGCTGCAGCAAAAGTGTTGTCGGCTTATTGTCAAGTGCTGACAGAACACCATCAACAACAGGAGAATACCCAGACAAAGACGCTACCACCAATCAACCCGTTGCTCTTACCGCTGCTGAAGGCGTGCATATCAGCATCGGACTGGTGTCGCGAAATGGTTGTCGAATGGGCTGAACATGTGATTTTCCAGATTGATCGGTCGATATCGCATACTATCTTGGCTTGTCTCGCCAATGATGATGTGTCTGCGGTTGCCCGCAAAGCGACAAGAACATTGAAACGTCTATCGTTTCCAGTTTCGACGGATTCCGACATCGCGACAGCACTGCGTTTCTTTGATCTTGAGCAGAGCAGCATGGATCGTGATAGGGTCGCGGGCGACTTGCAGAGCCGCATTCTGACTCTCACGGGAACGCACAACGGGCTTTCCAACAACATGGCCTATCAAGTGCTGCAAAATTTCGAGTTTGATGTGGACGCCGCGGACAAGGCTCTTGCGGAAGACAGGCAATCCGCCTTGGGAAGTCCCAATGGGAACCAAAAGGACAGCGAAGCAATGGGAATCGACACTGAACATGATGATGACATGGAGGTTGACATTGCAGAAGACCCAAACACGTGCCAAGTATGCTGGGACGATTTATCGGATGCTGATGGGTTTGCGCTACAGTGTGGTCATCGTTTCTGCAATGACTGTTGGGAAGGAGGTCTTGACGCGGCGAGTGGGAGCCCATCTTCCAAAGAGCTTGCCACCTTTACCTGTCTGCGTCACGACTGCCAAGAGAGGCTGGGCGCGGAAGAAGTGAAAGCCATTGCTCCTCGGCTCGTGCAAGCTTTCGAGGCGGCAACTCTCAAGTACTTTGTCTCTCGATGCTCCGACTACGCCCTGTGTCCAGGGCCCAACTGCACTGCAGTGGTCCATCGCTCCGGCGCACACAAACAACAGCAGCAAGTGGATTGCCGCAACTGCTTGTCGTCCTTTTGCTTTGAATGCGGCAGCGAACCTCATGCACCAGCCGACTGTGCCGTAAAGCGCCGGTACATTGCCTCCAGCGAACGAGTAAAGGCACATGAAAATGAAGTTGAACACAAGACAATCCCCTGTCCCAGCTGCGGCGTCTTGATCAAGAAGGAGGGTGGCTGCAACCACATGACATGCAAATGCGGACATGAATTCTGGTAAGTGAAGGAGACTGTGTAAAAACACAATCATGATGGATTGATGCCGCTCACATGCCGCGTTTCCTGTTCCCAGTTGGATCTGTTTGTCGGCGAATTGGCAAGACCACGTGTGCAATGTCTATGATTCGTTGAATGGAGTGAATGATCTGCAGAGAATTCAATTCTTCCGACGCCGTGTGGATGCACATGTGCAGTCCGCGGAAGCTACACGAGAACTCTTGAATGACTTTGACAACGCAGCTCAAGAGCTCCAATCGCGCCTCCGCTTTTGCGAGGAAGCCCACTTGTTTATTTTGAAGGAAGCGTGGAAGATGCTTCTCCAGGGTCGGAACTACCTTGCCAACTCCTACATTGCCGCCTATGGATTGGCCCCGACCTTGAGCGACACAAACCGGCGCGAGTTTGAAGCCCACCAGTCCCAGCTCCAGCTGTTTGTGGAACAACTGAGTTACCTCAGCGACAGCCTTCCTGATGTCTACCGCAGCCATCGCCAAGAAGACTTTGTAGTACGATTCCGTGGCTTACATTTTTGTACTATTGCAGTGGCAGGATACATCCAGCGCATGGAAGACTGTGCCAATCGACTGTTTTGTAGTGTGGACAATAAACAGTGAGGGAGTACAAACTGAAGCAGATTTTGTTTGGGTGTCTTGGTGCTGCCCCACCTCCAAATCACAAGTTAAATTTAATTGTACCCATGGGATGATTCTGTTCATACGGTACCAAACTAGAAAGCAGTTTTCTGGCTATGAATAAAAATCCAGAACTACAAGTTTTGACCTATCTATGCTGTTCCGTCCCGTGTGCTCGCCACACTGGGTTTTGTTGTTGTTGGATGGGACGATTACAATGATGCACACCGTTGCTTCTGGCACACTGCCATGCACACAAACAAATAAATAAACAACCACCAAAACCGAAGGATTCCAGATCCCTCATTATTATTTGTCCTTTTTGCTGTCTGTTGCTTCCTTGGTTGTTGTTGTCTCTTCTTCTTCCCTTTCCCAAATGGGTGGTAAACAACTGTAGATTTGTTCAAAACATTGTTTCTTCAATTCCTGTCTGTCTTCTTGTCCCGTGACTTTGATGGGTTTGTGTACGGTGAGCTTGATTTCTGGCACGGTGGTTCTGATCAATGGATACCATGTTTCCCAGACATTCATGGGAATATCAATGGATATTGGTACAATGGTACTTTTGTTGTTTTGTGCAATGACAAAGGCTCCTTCTTTGAACGGCAATCGTTTGGCCATGACCCGTGTTCCTTGGGGAAACAGAAACATGGGGATTCCCGACTGTACGGAGGCATCGGATTTTTCAAAGAGTGTGGAAACGGATTTTTTGTTCTTGCCCTTGACTCGGTTGATCAATACGTGATCGCCAGTGTACATGATCAATCCAACGCCGGGTACGTAGAGTACGGATTGTTTGGCAATCCATTTGAATCGTCGATGGATAAAGTAGACGGCTCCAAGGTCAATCTGGGAGGCGTGATTGGCGATATAGACGGGTGCGGGTACGGAAAGGTCTTCGGGGGGCAAGTTTTCGACCCCAATCACAGTGACCTTGCCCAGCATGCCACAGCAGAGATAGGAACCGGTTTTTTCGACCCACACATTGCACTCCTTGACAATATCGGGTGTCCCGAATAGGAGAAAGTATTTGATCCAAATAATGGTACATCCAACTGCCGAAGAAGTGATCCATACAATGTTGAACAGGAATACCTTGACCATGGCAAAGGGAGATAAGGAAGGCATGTTGGCTGGAGCCCAAATCTTGCGTTCTTGCAGCGCTGCCACCAGGGAAGATACTACTGTGGCCAGAGCAAAGAATCCCAGGATGAACTGGATTGCCATTTTCAGCACGGATAGTGGATCCATCTTTTTGAATATTTTGGAAGAGAGAATAGAATGATAGAGAGAGCTTTTTGTGAACTGTCGCTTGAAAATTTATAGAAACAAGAATACTAGCTAGACTAGTAATGGGAATGGAGACCAGCAGCCATGCACTTGTTTAGCTTGCTTGTGTACTAGCTAGCTAGTACCGTATTGGAATGTTGTGATGGGCAACTGTACAAGTGCCACCCGTCATCATGGTCTGCTGGTTTTCTCGACTTCCAGCTTCCAACTCCAGCTGCCCAAGATCCTGAAGGAAGGGACTGATAGCGCTAACTCTATCCGAATGAAAGGATAGCCTATGGGGAGACAACTGACGGAATCGATCATGTCCACCTTTGGTACCGTACCACTCTAGCTAGCTAGCTAGCTAGCTAGCTAAAGACAGAGTACCGCACTCTAGTAGAGTAGACTAGAAAGTAGAAGCCGAGCAACCACACTGGGGCTTCTTTTTGAAGCAACTTCAAGATTCAAGAGCTACATTGCCCCTCCTGCATTCAACGAATTCCTGAGCAACAGACTCGTGAAAGGATCATTGGCAATGAGGCAGTTTTGATGAACCAAACAGCTGCTATCTAGAGTAGGTGGTACAAGTAGCAACATTGATGGGCCATTCCCTCTAAAGTGTAGCGCTTGGTAGCTCTCGGTGAGCTTCACGGAATTCCTGAGCGATGCAATCATAAAAGGATCATTGGCAACGAGGAAGTCTTGATGAACCAAACAGCTATCTAGCTAGAATTGCTACATGGACTGGTAGCAACATTGATGGGCCATTCCTTAGTGTAGTAGCGCTTGGTAGCTCTTGGTGAGCTTTTTGCGCACCCTATTCTGTGTTTTGGTCAAAGTAGGTCTAGCCAAGACTTGCAGCCAACCGCCTCCTTGTTCAAGCTGTATAGACTACCTGGCCCATATAGTACATCATCGAGTTACGGTACCTGCAGCCAGTGAACACCGAGTGGACTTCGGTCAGAGAGGCAGAGCGCAAAAGAAGCAAAGTGTTGCGCTCGGGGCCCGTACAGTACCAGTATCTGTAGGTGTGGTGCTTGCTTTTGGTGGCTGGTCGTTCGTTGTAAGGGGAATTTTGGTTCTGGAGGGCGTCCTACTGGTGCCGTACCGGAAGGTCCAGTTCCAGGACTACGGACTCAGGTTCAGGAATTCCAGAACAGGGGCAGTGAGTAAGCAAACAGTGGTAATGCAGTGCTTGGTTGCTTCCAATGTTTGCTTGTTTGGTGGAGAATTAGAGGGAGACCAGTCTCTGTCCATGCCCTCATCAGTCGTAAGATTTACTCCGTTTGTGAGGTGCAATTGCCTGGCTGACCTGGCCTGGTGCCACAATCAATGTCAAGGGGATGAAGTTGTTTTTACCATTCAACAGCCTGACGTGGAAGCAACATAGATATTGTGGGTCCGAAGCCAAACGATGCATCCTCAAAGGTGACATTGTGTCAAAGCAACTTCTTGAATGTGCTTGGAGGCTATACGGTAGGAGGGCAAAAGATTTATTTGGTAAGACTCCACTCTGGGCTCATCATCTATCTGTGGGGTGTGGGGTGTGTTTGCAAAGTAAGCGTCCTTTCCAGTTGCAGCTAGCAACAAACTACAGCTCCAAAGGTGAACCGAGAGTGGGCCGCGAGCTAGCTAGCAAGTGACGACTTCCTGGAATTTGCCTTCGAGCTTTGAGGCTTTGAGGCCACAAAGCTGCGCGAGGGGCGAGGGCAAAAGAGTCGATAAGACCCGAAGCACAAAGGTCACAAGGTGTTGTTTCGATAAGTCATTATTAGGTCTTTATTGATTGCCTTTAATTCCTTAGAGGCATGTGTACAGAAAGTTTCGTTCAAACTACGAGTGACGTCTTGTGGTTCCCACTTATACAGCGACTTAGCGTGGGAATCGATTTCTTCATTCCTCCCTCCTCCCTCCAAACCACCTCCAACGACATGCATGAAGAATCGTCTCATAAAACGGCAAGAAACCGAGACGAGAGAGACCAGGATGTTGGAGCGATTGATTGACTACTCTTGCCACTCGGCAGACGTCGAGGCTCTAGTAGATGGTATTGGCGGCGGCAGCAACAGCAGTATTGGTCGCCGATTGGTGAAGCGAACGAACAGCAGCATGAGCGAAACGAGTGAAATCAGCTTTGATTTTTCGGAAGGAGGCCTTGCAGATGACTTTTGGTTTAATGATTCCGACTATAAAGGAACTGGTGGCAACAGCAGTGGCCACAACAGCCGATCGTTTCACCACTCCGCTTCATCCGCTTGCTCCAGCTGTGGCTACCGCTATGGAGTCCCTGATGAACGATTCAGTCTGCAGCAGTTGGCTCGAAGCAACAACAGCATCAGCAGCCAACGCAGCAAATCCTGCTCACATGATGATCATCATGCCGGCGAGAAACGGAACACATCCAGCACATCCAACACGCTTTCCATCAGTGACGAATCGGAGTCCTACAATGACGACGAGACGGTGGACTATGATGATGATGATGATGATGATAATGATGATGATGACGATGATGATGACGACGATGAGGACGTGCATGATGGTGCCCCTGCACAGCAACGGCTGCCACAGCGACTTTGTCTCCTTCGCAAGAACAGCAATGGCCAATCCAAAAATGGCAATAGCAATAGCCGTAGCAATAGCAATAGCGAGATGCAACTGGGATATGGCGGCACTTTGCCCGCCAAAACTACGGTTACAGCAACTGAAGAACTGGGATACGGGGATATGAAACTGGACAACAGCAAGGCTCCCAATCAAGTCTCGTCGTTGGAGTATGAAGATGCGTCTCCTAGTAGCACCAATGGCATGCCACTCACTACTAATGCTCACAACAAGGTGTTTGACCCTGCATCCTACTATGCCACACGCCGTCGAAACAGCATGAGTACTGGAGGATGCCGCAACAGTGGTATCAGTGGACTGGCACGAGTCCATCGTGGTGGTGGTCGAAGAGCATCCATGGAACACACTTCTTCCACGACTTCTCCCACCACAGAGCCGCAGCAACCAACACGGTCAGCCGTGTCGTTTAAAATGCGCCGGCGTTCCACGAGTAGCAAGGAGGAGACACAAGATCGGGGCACGTATTCCATTACCAGCTTTATTAAAATGGAAAGTGGTCTCAGTGTGAACTGCTGTGTGTCAGTAATGCAAAATGTTAAGTCCCAATTCTACCAGGTCTTATTCGTCCACTTAACCCTGAGGTTTCCAATCCTGTTTTCTTATGTTGCCTGACTTCTGCTTTCTGCTTTGTTACGCTGAAACAGGCAACCTCCGAACTCCAGGCTCGCAGGAATCCAAGGACCAGCCACGCGACGAACGCTTCTTGGTGCTTGGTGCCGGGGTGAGCACCACACTAAACATCCCATATCCCATTAGCTCATTAGCTGGAAGGTGGCATTGGCCACTGAGAATTCAATGAATAGTTGACGCTTCTTCAGGGTCCCAGTCAGTCCATGAAGGCGTATGAAGGAGAATCCTCTATATCCCACTTAATGGGAGCCTTGGGAAAGAGCAAAAATCAATCGGTATCTTTTATCCTTTTTCCAATTTCTGTTGGTGGCAGCAACTTTTTGAATAGTTAAGCTTCTCCAGTGAAACTTTGTGAAACTGAGGCAACCCCACCGTATGCTCCCTCTTCTGGAGTACACATACCGCCAGGAACAATGTTGCCTGCATATCTGCAACAATATTCCTTGGCAAAGTATACTGAGTAGATTTCAGAAGGTAAGATTCCTCAAATGTGTTGCCTTGCACTCTCAAGGATGTAATTCCTGTGATACCTTTCTTGGAACTTGTCCTTGTAGGTGGATCGTTGATATAAATTACTTTTGGATCATTGATGTCAGCAGTCCAAACTTGTAGAGACTGGCCCATTCATTTGAATAGTGCAAAAGAGTCAATGTTGTCAATACCCCAATATCTGTTGGAATCCAGCTTGGCGGTTGGTAATGCTCTCTCAAAATCAACTGTGTTGGCGCTGCCAGCAAGCCAACTTTTGAGGGAACTGACCCCAAAATTGGTTTTGCCACAAAACCAGATACACCGTGCAACCAAGGATGTCTCAACCCAAGCTCAGAGGGGTTTATGCCTCTGTCAGCAAACCAAGCTCTATGGTAACAGAACGGGCCATTTCCAGGCCAGTCAGTAAGCTGAGATCCCAAGGCAAGTGGCCTGGGAAGAAGAATGGGCAACAAAAGGCAATCAAAAGTAAAAAGATACAGCCAACAACACCACTTACAAGTAGCCATTTGCCTGTGAAGACGTTGGTACTGAAGAAATGCAATCCTGGAAGCCTGTCATGGATGGCAAAAGAGCATGGGAATGGTACTAGAGAGCCCTCTGGACTGAAAGATTCAATCTCCATTCTAGCTAGGGCCCATCAAAGAGTTCCCAAATGGTGTGACTGTGGCTCCTACAATAAGCTGATGGGTTTCCGTGTAGGAGCTGTTGTGGTGGTGCATCATGTTGCAAAAGCAGGCTTAGCTAACGGGCCACCAGCTAGACACTAAGCCAGGGAGGGAAGAAGTCAGTGAGGAAGTCTTAGCCCAATGTTTATTTGTTTATCATTGTATGAATCTATCCAATGCCGGTTGGCTGGCTAGCTATTAGCTTAGCAAGCAGCTCTTAATCAAGTTCACATTCGCTTTTTGTTTCATGTGCCCTTTTAGTAGCGATCCTCTGCGTCCCGGGTTGCTGCTGTCCAGTCGGATGATTCGTGACCCCAAAAAAGCGGCGGTATCCTGTTTGTTTTTCGTCGTTCCAGTTGTGCGTTCGGTGCTATTATTGTTGGCACAAAAGTCGCGACGAGCGGCACTACTATCAGCGCTCATGTTGGAGTGCATGCGACTCAAACGATGACGGTCAGATTCGTCGCAGCTCATGCTACGACGGATTCCACGGCGAGCCATGCTCCCATCAATGGAATGGCTGCTGTCGTCGACTCCAACA